AAGCTGGAGGTTGTTCAAAGAAGAGCTGAAAAAAATGAGTAAGTGGGATACCAAGAGTGAGAAAAGGAAACTTTAGGATCAATGCCAGGAAAGATTACTCCACAGTTTAATAGAGCTGGAAGTTGAAAAATTTCCCCAAGAGATGTGGCAGACTCCTGGTACATGAACACTATATAAAAAAAAAACTGGATAAGACAATGTGCATTCAAGTGTTTTAGTTGTCTCTGTGGGATTAGCACAGAAGGGATCTTTGGGGATTGTCAGCAGCTAGTATGCCCATTAGGGAATTGTTTAGATAGAATCTTTGTTTTACTACTGTATCATTGTATAACGCACAAAGTAAAAACCGAAGACTTCCTCTGCTGGACTCAGAAAAGCACCAAGGAAAAAAACACAATCCAGCAATGTTCCTATTTTTTTTTTAATGTACAGGCTTTTCTGCACTATAATGTCAGAGGACCACAAATATTAGTTGAATTTACTTTCTGGGGTGGTGCTGGTAAGTATCATCACCTGTATTTTACAGCTGGGGAACTGGAATACAGAGGTTAAGACACGGCTTCTACTAGACCTATTTGTTCCAGCAGCTCATGGGCACGCCCAACGTTTCTGTGTGGTTTGCACACGTGCCAGATACTGCTTAGATTTGCTGAAAGCATGTCAAATCCAAAATCTAGTTTAGTCTGTTTTAACGATATGTGGACTGAAGTCCTTGACATAATAGTAATGGTTCAATGATCTGGCCGGTCATTAAGAAGATAAGAATGGCCATACTGGGTTGGACCAAAAGTCCATTTAACCCAGTATCCTGTCTTCCAACAGTGGCCAATGCCAGGTGCCCCAGAGGGAATAAACAGAACAGGTTATCATCAAATGATCAGTCCCCTGTCACCCATTCCCAGCATCTGACACACAGATGCTAGGGATGCCATTTCTAGTCATCCTCGCCACTATCCTATCCTCCATGAATTTTATCTAACTTTTTTTTGAACCGCATTCAAGTTTTGACCTTCACAACATCCTCTGGCAAGGAGTTCCACAGGTTGAACACACTTCCTTCTCAGCACACTCTCGATTTGCTTATTGTCTTAATAGCGCCAAAGCCCATTGAAGTCAATGAGACTCTTCCAGGTATTTCGGATCATGCCCTGGAACAGTAAATTCACTCTGTGAGAATTCCATTGCTCTGTGTCCAAAACCTCTCTTGAACATTCCTTTTTGTGAGCTGCTCTGCTCCAGCCCTGCCCTACCAGAGTGAAGCTGCTGTCACTATCCTCTTTCCAGCAAGAGAGCCAAGTCAAACACAATAGGCTGAGTTCTGCACCTACCACCCACTGCATTCCCGCTGGCGTGGCGATGTTTAAATGGAACATGAGAAAAATGCAGCATCTGAACTACAGCTAGGATGGAGGCATGCAGAAGCTTGTGCTTTGTAATCAGTTGTCACTCTCCAAGTAGTTTGCCGCATCTGAGAAATAAACCCAGGAGCTGTTTTTTTGTCTCCCCAAATTACTTTATTATATTGTGAATAATCACAAAGCATTACAATGCTGCAGGGAGTCTAAAAATATATGTATGTACACACACACACACACACACACACACACACACACACACACAAGGTATCTACCAGCCCTTCATAAGACTCATTTAGCTAGCGGCTACCATGAGATTACAAGAGTAAATCTTGCAGTCTTCAATTGGATTGTCACATTGGGTATTAAATTTACCACAGTGGTGCAAAGGCAGTAACTTCTACAGCCTGTATATAATCTCCCTAACATTCCAGCTATGCACAGAACTATAAAATTAAACAAATATATAATTTTAAAAATTAAGTTTTCTGCCAGCAGAAAAATTCTCTTAAAAAGGCGGGATCCATTAGGAAAGAAAAATCCCAAACAAACCCAAGACCATTCCTACTTGTTCCTCATTTCCTTCCTCATTTTATAGAATCACTTCCCATCTAAGACAATATTGTTGTCTTTGAAGAAACATGTACAAGTTTCCACATAATAACCAAAGGCAAGCGGAGCATTTAAAAGGCCCAGTGAAGGGGGGAAAAACACTGAAAAAAGTGTTTAATTTCAGTTATAAGATATGGGACCAAGCCACTGGAGAATCTACTTGACAATCCAAGGCCATGTCCTAGCTGGGGCTGGTTAGTGTATGGCAGCAGCTAGGAATCTGGCCCTTCCAAGATAGCGACAGAAATCAAAGCTTAGATAACTGGTTTGGGGCAGTGCAATTTCAATTAGTAAACTATTCTTGAGAATGTAGCAGGGAAGATATAGCTGTTTCTGGATTCCCTGGACACCGAAGTGTCTGATCCGGAATGCAAACTGTTCCAGCGTGAAGTCTACTAGATTTTCACCCTTCCTCCTCTAACATAGATTAGAATCTTCTCAACAGTGACATGTGTGACCAGATGTACCTTCACTTACTCCTTACAGACTTCTCCCCACCCCCACTCTTTGAGGACAGTGTGTTTACGAGGGATGTTAATTTAATAGTCAAGTAACCTCATTAAATTGTATCGGTTAGTCAACTAGTCTATAGTCCCCGGGGGTGGAGTCAGCAGCCACTGTATCAGAGGCAGCAGTGCGGGGTGCCAGGTGGGAGACGGTCCGCAAGGGGAGCCAGTTTAAAAACCAGCTCCCCTCACGAACCAGCTGCCTGTCATCCTGTGCTGCTGCTTCTGAGAAAGAGGCAGCAGCATGGGGTGGCAGCAGCCCCTGTCTAGTGGGGGTCTGAGCTCCTGGACCCGGCGTAAGCCAGCACTCAGCTGGGCTGCCTGCCCACCTGGCTGGCTCTTAACATACTTGAACTGCAGAGCTGAAATGGAGATAGGTCCTGGACCCAGCGTGAGCCAGGATTGAGTCGGGCTGCCTGCCCACTCAGCTCCTAATACATTTTAAATGCAGAGCTGCTGCAGGGGTAGGTCTTGGATCTGTTGCAAGCCAGGACTGAGCCAGGCTGCTGGCCAGCCTGCTAAAAAATTTACTGGCAGGAAAAGGGGGACAGGGAAATGCGTGTAGTTTATAGCATTAACCTATAAACTTTGGCTTATCAACCGATAAGCCAAATCAACTACACGATTACATCCCTAGTGTTTACCCCAGGTCCCCTGCAGTGACTGCCAGCCCGCTCCTCGCCTTTTGCATTTTCTTACTTGTCTGCAGCCACCCTGGATACTTGGCTACAGAATGGGCCAAATTCTAATCTCTCTTATACTGATTCAAGACAGACTTCAATAAAATTGGGGGATCATTGGCACACCCATTTGCACTAGTCTGGTTAATCTGGTGCAAACTCCTAAGTGGACCAGCTGCTTCTGGTTTCAAAGTGGCTTATTGTTTAGTTTAAACCTGCTCCTGATGGACTTAAAGTAAACCAACCCCCTCCCACACGGCTGAAGTTAAAATTAAGAGCAGTCACAAAGGCTTGTACATGGGCTCAACAAACTGGCTTTAAAAGACAAACCCATTCCTTTCGTGAAAGTGGGGCTACGCTGCATGTGGACAACTGGAGCAGGTGAGACCAGACTGTGTCCATGCTGTCTCCTTCTGCCCTCCCCATCCCAAGGAATAACGGGCACGGTTCAGAGCTGAGGTAAGCAGATAACTCCACTGCTGGCTGAGTCTCTCTGGGGATCCGGGTCAAAATGCCCCATTCAGTTCACAGAGCAGGAACTTGGTTCTCAAGTAACATCTGCCCTCCCAACCCACCCCCAGTTGGTTGGAGCTATGTTTCCCTGCCTCACGGCCAGTGCTTGTGCGTTGTTCCTTCCTCCCTGCCTGAGGCCTCTCCCAACTTCCTCTGCTCTGGCTTTTTCTCTACATTCAGCATGCAGGCAACCGGGCAAAGCTGACTTAAAACTGCTCTGTATGCTGGAGACCTTGATTTCAGCAAACTTGATTTAGCTGCCAAGGACGAGAGACCAGAACGAGTGACCCAGAGCAGCAGACCCCGAAAAGGGTTCTTCCCTCGACAGGCAAGCGTGCTACTCCCTTGTTCCATCAACCAGCGGGTGCCAGTAACCCGAGGCTGGAGCTTTCTGCTCCCCTCCCCCACGTATTCCAAACACATTTTCTGGCATGAAGTTGCATTATTAAACAGCACACATGTTCTTATCAGGCTGAAGAAGTCAGAATGGAAACGGCTTATTCTTAGTCCCAGGGGCTTCTCTCTTGGCTTGATAAGGTTATCAGGACAGGGAGTCTCATCCAGCATTCTTTAAATGCCCAGGAAAGGGAGGGAGTTTTTAATTTAGTTTACAACTGATCTCTCCCTTTCACCACTCAATCTAATTCACCCTGCTGGAGCCTGACTCCCAGACAACCTGCCCTTATCGCATGCAGGCTTTGTTCAACCACACTCACAGACCGTGGGGGGAGGGGGTCAGGGGGAGAGAGCTGGGCCCATGGAAACAGCATTCAGTCCTTCGAATGGCACAGCGACAAGTTTCAATGTTCTTTGACAGACAACTCAGTTCAGCACATCTGCATCAGAAGGCCCTCGGGATTTGCAGCGGAGGATCTAATGCAGAAAGTATTGGGCTGAGGTAGGGGAAAATGGTCCCCCAGTAGCAAGTATTCATTGCACTTTTTATGCAAATAGCATCTAAGCACTACTAGGCGCTTCCTGTCCTTAGGTTTGCTTAGTACTTTTGCTTCAGACTGAAAGTGCGTGACAATGAGCAGGGCGCTGCTAACGAAGGCAACATTTGGAAGGCACTTCTTGGAAGGGAAAGATGGATAAAGCATGGATCTGTAAGCAAATGACTGCAGAGTTAACACATTGTGGTGCATGCTGTAGACAGGACTAGCTTTGCTCCTGCGAGTAAACCTGGGCCGAATGCATCTTCTCCCCAGACATTCTGCCCTTCATCAAAACACCACTTGCTTCCCATTCACAGCAAACACCATTTGGGGCTCCCATGCTATCACCAGCAAATGCTTGCTGGAATCAAGAGGCAGCAGCCTGCCTGTGACGGAAAATGGTGGTCAGGAATACAGAATTTAAAGACACACATCATCAAGTATTGGCATATACAAATGTATAAATTATTAACAAAATTATTTACGAAAGGCACGCGGCAGGTCATGACAGTCCAGATAGCTGTACAATCTCACTTCGTCCCCCCAAGCCCCTTCCCCTCAACTTTCATCACAAGACATAGGATGCTGCTGCTACAGACCCATGGCTGTCATGACAACTGAGGACCTCTTTTTTGGTCAGTCCAATTTGTCGGTGATACTGTCCTTCCTTGATCACCTTAAGACACTGAACATTCTTCCCCAAGGTAATGCTTTTGATGGTAGGTAAGTATTTCAGCACCGTCTTTGGCAAGAAGGACACACTTGTACTGGACAGGTTGAGCTCTTGCAAGGAGCTTAGACCAAAGACGACTTCGGCACTCAACGACTTAAGATTGGGGTTGCTAGATAAATCGAGTACCTGGAGATTGGGCAGTTCTTTGAAGCTGTAAGGAGAGAGATCTCTAAAGCCCCGTAAGCTGCTAAGAGATAAATGAATTAAATCCCTCAGTCCTGCAAAGGCTCCTTTCTCAATCTTAGCCAGAGGATTCCCATCGAGATTTAAGTATCGCAGAGGAATCCCTTGGAGATTTGGCACAGTCTTTAGTCTGTTTCCAGACAGATTTAAACTCTGGATGTTGGGGATGTTTTTGTCGTAGTGTCCTGAGACTGTATTTATCATGTTGTTGGACAGGTCCACGTTAATGGGTCTCCCTTGACCTCTGGAAGCAAAGACATCTAGCCTTATATCCAGGAGGTTGTTGTTGCTCAAATCTATGTCCCCCAGGGGAGAGCTGGAGAAGCATTCCTCGGGAAGAACTGCCAAAGAGTTATGACTCAGATCCAAGGATTCCAGATACCTGAGCCTGGAGAAGGTTGTGGAAGAGATCTTAGCAATTTTATTATAGCTCAGGTCAAGGCTCACCAAGGTGGTGTAACCAGGGCCGGTTAGCATTGACTCATTGATGTTTTCCAGTTTGTTTGAGGACAGATCCAAATAGGAAGTATCCAGTGGGATAGGGACGGGAACAATGTGTGAGCCTATTCCACTGCAGTCCACCTTGGTCAAGCTGAAGCTGTCAAAGAGACCAAAACTCTCCACTTCGCAGTGGCATCCTCGGGAGCAGGTCTTGATAGTACCAATGCACGGAAAGAGAAGCAGCAGATTGAACCAGGCTGGTAGAGGCATCGCTGAACCTGAAAGACAAGACGAGGAGAGAATTTAAGAGTGTCTGAAGCACAGCAGACAAACTAATAGAACTTGAAAACCTTGCTGAAGATGGTTTAACAATCTGAATGGCATAATCACATCCCCAGTATCCCTCCAAAGACCAGGACAGATGTGCTTGTTGATACACAGCACAACCCCGTGATACTGGATGCTATTCAAAAGTGAAAGTATCTGACTGCATTAGCAATCAGGCATTTGCCACTGTCCATGTTTGGACTGAAGCAGTGATTTGAAACGTGTTTCCAATGTACTGGATCATCACACATTCAGATAAATGCAGGAGGGTAGCCATGGGCATTTGTCTACAGAAGAGAAGAGTGAGGGGGGATCTGATAGCAGCCTTTAACTACCTGAAGGAAGGTTCCAAAGAGGATGGAGAGAGGCACGTCTCAGTACTGACGAGTGACAGAACGAGGAGCAATGGTCTCAAGTTACAGTGGGGGAGGTCTAAGTTGGATATTGGGGAAAAGTATTTCACTAGGAGGGTGAAGCAGCACTGGAACGGGTTGTGTAAGCAGGTGGTGGAATCTTCATCTATACAGGGTTTTAAGTCTTGGCTTGACAAAGCCCTGGGTTGATTTAATTGGGGTTGGTCCTGCTTTGGGCAGGGGGCTGGACTCGATGACTCCTGAGGTCTCTTCCAGCCCTAGGATTCTATGATTTTCGACACTAGACTTTTCCCTCCAAAATTCCCCCCTGTAACAGCTTTAGTGCTTAGCCAGTGACTGCTGGTGTTTGGACCTCTCCAGGGGCAGCAGGTCTGTAGAATTTTTGGTGGTGCCCAGAACAGGTCCAAGTTCCACTCCCCACCTGCCTAAGGCTCTGGGAGTCTGGGTGCAGAAGGAGTGCAGGCTGTAGGCTGGGCGGGAGTTGGGGTACAGGCTATAGGCTGGGCCAGCAGGTCAGGGTGCAGGAGGGGGTAAGGTGCTTACCAGGGTGTTTCCTTTTAATGATCCACACCCTTCTGGCAACGTCTCCCAGGTGGAGGTGGAGATGGAGGGGGTCTCCGCACTTTGCTGCCTGCAGCTCCAGTTGGCTGTTGGCAGTACAGGGCAGGAGCAGTGTGCAGACCCCCCCCCCGCCACTGGGACACGCTGGCAACTGCTTCTGGATTTGGAGGCAGTGTGGAGTGGGCTGAAGCCCCATTGTGCTGCTGGTGGGGATGGAAGGGGCCCCTAGGCCCTTTTAAATCACAGAGGGCAGCAGGCAGGGTTGGGGGACTCACTGGGAGGGGCAGGCAGGGCTGGGGGAGAGATCTGGCCCCGAACTTTGGTGGAGCCGAGAAACTGTGCTCTTATATTGGTGCAGCACAGGCACCATGGGCCCATACCGCTTGCAGCCCTGGACCAATCATCTAGGCCAGCTCTTAAAGGAGTTACACATCATGGCAATTAAGATGCCACCAGTGCCTTGTCTACTGTATTCCTACTATTGCTACCCCGACGCGTAAGGATAGACGCAGCCATGTGTACATGTTCCAGGGCGAAGTGAGGCTTTTCCCCTTAATCTCCCACAAGGGGCAGCAATGGTAGGAATACAGTAGACAGGGCATATTGCCGAACTCCTGTCTGGAGGTCTGTTGGCAGGGCCCATTGAGAAGTGCTGAATCTATCCACTTTTCTTGGCCAGTGCTATGTCTACTGCATAAGAGGTTGTGGTCACTGCACAGCCTGGCTTCCTAGTCAGCTGTCTATCACTAGGGTTACCAGATGATTTCAAAAAAATACTGGACACACTTGATCTCAGATGGGGAGGGGAGCCGGCCGGGAGGGGAGCGGGGCTGCAGGGCCCATTGAGAAGTGCTGAATCTATCCACTTTTCTTGGCCAGTGCTATGTCTACTGCATAAGAGGTTGTGGTCACTGCACAGCCTGGCTTCCTAGTCAGCTGTCTATCACTAGGGTTACCAGATGATTTCAAAAAAATACTGGACACACTTGATCTCAGATGGGGAGGGGAGCCGGCCGGGAGGGGAGCGGGGCTGGCCGGGAGGAGCGGGGCT